CATCAGAACAAAAAGTACAGCATCAACCCATGTATTCCCTCTGTCTAACAAAATTTTTGTGATTCAATTTTGAATTGTACAATTATTTCTCTTGATGACACCGGCCGATTGAGGATGATAAGGTACATGAAATTTCTGTTGTATACCTAGAATTTTACACATTGCCTGCATGACTTTACTTGTAAAATGTGTCCCTCTATCGCAAACACATTCGACTGGGATCCCCCAAGTTGGAAAAACATGATTAATAAACATTCTTGCAGTTGTCAGTGCATCATCTTTACGAACAGGCAATATCTCAGCCCATTTTGAGAACACATCAACTACAACCAAAGCATATCTCAAACCATTTTTTCCCTGTTGGCAATGGTCCTATGTAGTCAAGCTGTATTGTGGACCATGGTCCATTAGCAGGTGGAGTTCTTTGTAAAAGAGGCTTCTGTCCTTTCGGTCTGGGGTTCATCTGAGCACAGATGAGACAGGATTGAGTTACACTGTTCACTGTCTCTTCCATTTTCTCCCAGTAAAATTGATCTTTGAGAATTTCCAGCAATCTTTGTCTACCTATGTGACCTAAACTTTCATGATTGTATTTCGTGAATTCTACCTGTAAGTGTTTAGGTATCACAGGACGCAGAATCCCGTTTAAGTCATGACCCAAACAAAGGGAGATTTTGGACCACCCTGAGAATCAACAAAAAGAGACGCATCCCTTTTTTGTTCTTCTTCGAAAGAGGGAATCTGTGTAACCATTTTTACCGTATTTACAGTAGTAATTTCAGGCTCTGTTATAGGTTCTCCATTAAGGGATGCTTCTTTTGCTAAAGTGTCAGCTGTCCTATTGCCAATAGACAATTCATAATTTTCTTTACTATGTGCTGGCACTTTAACAATTGCATAGTCTGTAGGATTTTTCTCTGCTAACTCAAAAATAGTTTCTAGTGTCTCCTTGTGTATGAGGGTTTTGTTTGAAGCATCTACAAAGCCTCTTCTCTTCCAGATTGGTAGGTACCCATAGTCTGTAAGAGAACGCACAACGTAGGAGCTGTCACTGTAAACCACTAGAGGACTTTTGTTTTCTTCTTTGACTAAAGTTAGCACTGCCTTGACAGCTTCTAGTTCAGCTTTTTGTGCTGACCAATATCCTTGCAACTTGTGTTGAATGGAATAACCTCTTTCCGGGTACCAGATTGCATAACCTGAGATGTACTTTCCTGAAACACAATATCTTGACCCATCCACAAAGACAGGTTCATCAACTTTCTCTGCCTCTCTTCGGAAAAGAGGAGAGCAAGTTTCTTGGACTTCACACAAACACTCGTGTTCTAGTCCATTGTATTTAATCAGTTGAGGAAGTACATAATTGGCATTATGATCAACCTCTATTTGATTCATCGAGATCGCCAATAGCCATTGCGCGAATCTTTGATTGGAAACACCTGGAATATTTTTCTCAAGAAGAAATTTCAGTGTAGAATGGGGAGTCTCTAAAATTATTTTGTTAAAACCAACTATGTGCTCAGTAGCTTTTAGTGCATTATCTACAGGGATTTCTGCACTCGATTAATCTAAGAAAACTGGGCGTTTCTCCTTACAGCTGCTCACTTAAATTGGCTGCATGAGCCTGCATTAATATCATTCAAACATGTGAACCGGCGCTATCACCCAACACGTAAACAAATATGTGCGAAAACCAAATATGATATTGAACAATACTATTGTGAGAGAAAAAAACATGTGTATATAATATTTTCCAAATGAAATCTTCTAGTCAACTGTTTGTGTAAATCACAAGGTGATAATCTAAAAAAAGTCATTTGGAGCTTTTAGTGCATAATGAACTCCAACCAGTTGTCTAACACACATTTCAAAACCTTTTTCAACAGGTGACAAAAGTCTAGAAAAGTATCCTAGAATTCTCCAAATTCCACTCTGCTTTTGAAGCAGTACAGCAGAAATTGCTGTTTCTGATGTATGTACCTGGACAGCAAATGCAGCTTGGTGCTGTCTGTAAATCTTTTTTTTAGTGTTTCAAAAGCTAACTGATGTTGTCCATCAGTCCATGGTCCAAATCCTTTTTTCCTCATTAAATTTCAACAAATCATACAAAGGCCTTGCCTTTTCAGAAAAATGTCTCTATGAAATCTCTGGAATAGTTCAAAAATCCCCAAAACTGTCTTAAAGTTTTGAATGATGTTGGCACAGGAAGTAAAGAAATAGCTTCAATGCTTTCATGCAAAGGTTGCCTTTTCCCAGGACTGATCAAGACCCCAAGAAATTTGACCTCTTGCTTCATAAGCTGAACTTTGCGTGTATTCAGCTTAAGACGTGCATCTTGCAGAAGAGGAAGCAACTCTTTTAAAAGGATTAAATGCTGTTCTTGACTTTCTGAACTAAGTAATATGGCATCAACATATTGTAAAATACACTCTGGTTTTGAAAACTTTGACAAAACCTTAGCCAATGCTTGATGAAATACAGCAGGGCTTAAATGTAGTCCCGGTAGTCTACATTTAAATGTAGTCCCTGTAGTCTTGTAAATACATATTGCTCATTTTGAAATGTAAAAGCAAATTTGTATTGACAACTCTTTGTCAGAGGTATTTACAAAAAAAAACCATTTGCAATGTCAATCACAGAGAACACCTTTGCTTTTGCATTCAATCTCGACATAAAATCTGGTGTTTCAGCAACAATTGTGGCATTGTTTGGGGTGTATTTATTCAGCATTCTGAGATCTATCAAAAGTCTGAATGAGCTAGGATCATCTCTTTTAGCTACTACCCACAGTCGATTGTTAGTCACTGAATTGGCTTTCCTAATAACCCCTTGCTGAAGAAACTATTTTGTGACAATTGATACTGGTTCTATGGACTCTGGAGGTAATTTATGGAGTAGTGAGGTATCGCTGCAGGGATGTCTGAGGCCGCTCGGTGTTGCCGGTACGTGATTTAGTTTTTGTCGACATCAAAATCAGTGGTGCAGGATGATTAGATCAACTGTTAAGTCCCAGGCAGTTGCAGAGCTCAAACAAGACACTTCTTCACGCCGCCATAGCCAAGCCACGCCCCCGGCTGTTTACATTTTTGACAGTTTCCCCACTCATGAGCGCGCTGAGCACCGTGCCCAAGTGGGGGAGGGGAAGGACCTGCCGTTTAACAGCTGACGGGAGGTGGTTAAATAAATGTTAAAAAAAGTTAAAATAATAAAAAGATTTTAAAGATAAGGAAAAAAAACCCCAACAATGTGGGGTTCCCCTCCCAAACCATACCAGACCCTAGGAAAGTTGTGAGGAACCCCATTAAAAAGAAAGTGTGGGTTCCCCCCAAAAGTCATACCCCCCCAAAAGGTTTTAGTTGTACAACTGTTGCAACATGTGTGGAAGCCACACTGCCTCATCAAGGCCACTCTGTGTAGTGTGGTCTTAACTCTAATCTATGAGAACCTCCATCTTGCAGCATATAAAGCAAAAGATAAATTGAGTGCAGGTATGCCTGGAGGTTGCCCATTCTTAAAGGCACAGGGACAGACCAGAAGCCCAGCACATCATAATGGCAGCTGAAGCTCCCAGTTGTAATACACCAAGCCCGTCTGGGTCGGGGTTATGTGGATCTCAGCTTCAGAGTAGGTGGGAACGCTTGAATAGTATGGCGTTTCTTAGTTGGAGCTATTTGATACAGTCAGTGAGAGGAGGTAGCAGTTGCAGCAGGTTGGCATTAATTGAAGCTATGCAATAATAACCTGGCACCTTGAGGCAGTTCCTACATATAACTGAGGGTTGAATGATAGGGATAGCCCGGTGTGGTTTATAACACACAGATGAAGTCTTTATCTCAGTATGAAAGTAAATGTGTTGAAGCAGTCAGTTGCATAGATTTTAAACAGTTGATACTGTGTACTTGCAGTTTGGTAGGATTCGGTCCCAAAGTGCCACCCAGAGGTTGTAGGAGGAATAGCCTGTAATGTCTGTCCCATACAAGGGGAATTGGCTGCTGAGGGAGTCCGTGAAACACTTTCCAGCAACTCTGAGAAGAGTTGGAGGAAGTGGCTGCTGAGGGCAGAGAGAAGGGGCACTCGTCCGGCCCAATAGTGGGGGGTTCAGTGTGGAGCCGAGGAGGTACTTGCCAGGCATCACACACACTTGCACGAACGCCAGGCAAGTGAACCCATCGGCTCTAGGAAGGGGGAGGGGCCGCCTGACGTCTTTGCTGGTTCCCCGACAGAGCCGCGGGAAGCGTCGGAACTGGAGGACGGGTAAGTTCGTTACACCAGTGTGTCCCCACACCAACGCCAACAAGTAAAGCAAATGGCAACCACACAAATCAATTTATAACTAGCTTTTCAAGTAAGGTGCACATGGAGGGGCTTTATACAGTAGAAACACAAATAACCAGCCAGCCTACAATAAAACGAATTACTGTGTTTAACTATTAGGGTTAAAAACAGAGGTTTTAGTTGCACAACTTTTGCAAAATATGTGGAAGCCACACATAAAGGCATTAGTGATTTGACACCTTTGAATACTGCTTTGTACAAGGCTTTGATGGTGGGTGTAACTAAATGGGTATGGCAGCCAGTCTGGGGTAGTCTCTTGTAGATGTATGTGGCACCAATGTTAGTTGTGTTTAGCCTTGTTGGCCATCATTGTGGTTGTTAGCCTGCATTAAATACCCTCTGCGGGGATGTGATGCTCATTTCCCTAAGTTTGCAGGGATTGGTAGCTCAATAGTTTCCCAATGCAGTGCAGTTTGCCCTGAATCTACATTGAGTGCTAGAACTGCGCATTTTGGGGGTTATTTTGATAAAAGCATAATAACCAAAAATACATGACCAGTGGTGCACTAAAGGCTCATACCACTTTCTGGATGCAATGACGCACCTTTTGAAAAGATTTACGAGCATGCCTTCCACATAGTAGGTATGTCAGACTCTGAATGACCCCTGTCTCTCCATATTTCGGCTTCAACAGCCAGGCAATTAACGGCAGCAACTATAAAGCAAGGTGGAAGACTGGGCCATGCCACAGAAGATCCAGCCAATCTGTTTTTTGCCAGGGAGAGACTGAGAAGGCAGACCAGATCCACATACCGAGCCATTTGATGCCAGTCTAAGGTCATAACAATGACTGGAATTCCTTCCAGCTCAATCCTGTGCAGCAGTCTGGGTAGTAGTCAGTGGTGTATATCAGCATGTGCTGGGTCTGCAGATTCATTAGCGCATCTATCACCTCCACAAACTAGACTTGTGCGCCGTTAAAAAATTAGTTCTGTTTCGTTTTGGAATATCCGTTATTTCGTATTTCGTAATTCGTAACTGAACTCAATTCGGATTCGTACGAAATACGAATTTTCGTTCGTGGCGGTTATATTTTCGTAACTTTACGAACATTCGTTATGATGAAGTTAAAAAGCAAAATACCTTTGTTAATATTGGAGTGGTAGTTGTTTTTTTTATCCGAAATACGAATTCCGTTAACGGATTCCGTACCGAATTTCGTATTTTGGATTAAAAAAAACTACCATCAATCAACTCCAATATATTCCGAAATTCGGAATTTCAGTAAAATTCGTACGAATTTCGATTCGTAACGAAACGAATCGCACATGTCTACCACAAACACAGCATCAGTCTTTGCGACAAACCTGTCCAGTTTACCTAAGTTGCCAACAGATCAACATCCAGCATTGCCCAACTAAAACAGATTTGTTGAAACGCCTTCTGGTGTTGGGACCACTCTCCTGAATCTAGACCCAGGTGCCTGAGCTAATCGCCTGCTAATTTTCTACACCTGAGATATATAATGCGGATAAAGCCAGAACAGTCCCTTCTGACCAACATAGAATATGATCTACTTTCAGCACCACTGGCCATGGTGGTTGACATACGCCACTCCTGTTGGGTTGTTTATCTACACTGTCATCTATCTGCCCTGAGGTACAACTGTCCATTGAACCAGAGAAAATCTGATGTCTGATGTGTTTAAGTCCCCTGCTAGTTCGGGTTCAGGGGTGTCCATCTGAAATATTAGAGAAAGCAGAGAGGACACCTTTTTGGCTGCTTTTTCCTCAGGGCAAAACAGAACCTAAACTACATGAGAGAAAAATTCTTCATTAGTGGAATTAAAGGATTCAATGTTTAGAGTCGAGGACAGGGTGTCTGACGCTGTGTCCCTCAATGAATGATAAAGAAATACTATTTCCATGGCTGTCATGAAAATCAAATGGGTTTAGTACTTTCTTCATTTCCAGCCTGGATCAAGTTCTAACTTTCCTGATCTTTTACTGTTGCCACAGTTTAGGGACCTAGTCGCACCATATGCGTTGGGTCCTGCGCTGGCCATTTTTTCCAGCGTAAGATAAGGCATTTTGCCTTGTCATGGATCGGCTTGGTTCACACCACCTCAAAGCATGGGCGTTATAGTGGTGTGTGCTAAAAAAACCCAAAAAAACATGCAGTACTTTTTTCCAGCACAACGGGATGCGACGCAGTACAACCACCTTTCACCTCGCTGTGCCCATTACTTATTGAATTGTCACTTGTCACATTTCAGTAAAGTTCTAAAAAAAAAGAGTACACAGTGCAAAATTGGTGCATTGGCACTGTCGGCTGCCGCACACCAGCCGCTGTGCTTTTTGCGCAGCAGCTGGTGTGAATTAGCCCTAAGAACTATACAGCACTGATTAGTGATCCCAGTGACTTGATGACTCAAAGTTTGTGGACGGTCTGTGTTCTGTTTTAGCCAACATTTTGTTATGATGTCATTTTGCAATTCCCTTAATAGGATTAGTCCCTTGCAGAAAAAAAAGTCCCTACTTTATTTTTTGCTTTAAGGGCCTATTTACATCCTTATGTTGCATTGCATAACATGCATTGTGTTAGGGCAGCCCGCCATAGTGGGTTATTGTTTGTTGTGGTGAACTGCAATGTAAGTGTGTTGGGGTGCCATTGATTGACACGGCACAATGTTCATTGCTGTGCATTAGAGCAATGCAACAGTGTGAATCCAGCTTTACTGCTTATATCAAAATAATTCAGTGTGCATAATGAGCAAATGATCCTTCTGCTGCTGTTCTAGGGACCCACATACCTTGGTTCAGCTTACCTCTTTTATGGCGATAAACAAGTTTCAGCCTTTCCATGTATCCATTTGCAGTAACGCTCTTCTTCTTCTGGTGAGTTTTAGTCATTTTTGGGTTGCTATTCTGTTTGTACAGTAAGCCTTCTGTAATGCTGCATTCTCATTATAGGATTTCCATAGCCATCTGACACAAAGCGAAGTAGTGGGATATCTTGGAGGTCAATGGGATACAAACAGCCAGTGTAAGCCCTAACTATTTTGCTGGAAATTGAAAGCCCTGGTAATTTTTCTCCTTGACCGTGGCATAATGTAAAACTGTGTTTCTTTACAGTACTTACTGTGCTCCGAGCCTTTCCCTGCCGTTCTCGACTGAGAGACACAGAGACCGCTGCTGCAGTAGAAGAAGAGGTGATATCTGGAAAAAGTAGATTTTTTTTTATGCAGTTGGATAAGTTGGTACAAATGACTTGTACAGACATGAGAACAGATTAATGTAATGGAGGTTCTAGGTAAATTACTTACTGTATATGTATAGAAGATTTTAATCCTTTTGTAACACAAATGTAACCTCCTATTAATAATTGCTATAGTTTCAACACATTCATTTCAGTATGTTGCAGAAGAAGCAATTACGAGCTTGAAGTTAGTCTTATGCAGGGGCAGACTGACAACACATGGGGCAATATGAGGTGGGGGGGGGGCAATATGAGCTTATGGGGCCCTTTTGTGCTCCACCCATATACAAGCCCCACCAGCCCCACCCATCCACATGTACATTCTTGTGTTACAGAAATTATTTCTACACACTATTTTCAAAATAACAGGTCTATTCACTAAAAGGTGAATTGCAGGGGAATTGGCAGGAGAATCTCAAATCTAGAAAAAGTGAGCTAAATGTCAGAATTTTTCTGGTTTGGCTATTTTGACCTATTATACCAATTATCCAGAACTGCAAAATAACTAGTAGGAGAATGTACAGGAGAACTGAATCATCTAGGTTTGGAGCAGGGGTTTGGGCACATATTGCATGTGCCCAACCCTCGCCACTCCAGTGCGTGTGGTAAGGCCCAGAAATGGTCAGTCCACCCATGACCAGAACCATCGCTCGCAAACCTCAGACCAGAACCAATGCACTGCAAACTGCAGACCAGAACCATTGCATGACAGTCCTAAGATAAGAACCAATGGAAGCAGTAAGAAATGCACAGAGTGCACAGGTCAGTAGTAAGAAACAGAGTGGCAAATTTGCAGTTCAGTAGTAAGGAGAGCAAAGCTCAGCAGCAAGTAACACACAGAATGCAGAGGTCAGGCGTAAGTAACGCACAGGGGTCAGAAGGTAGTAACGCACAGAACGCAGAGGTCAAAAGTAACGCTCAGAAAGTAGTAAGGCACAGAACGCAGAGGTCAGAAGGTAGTAACGCACAGGTCAAAAGGAAGTAACGCACAGAACGCAGAGGTCAAAGTAGTAAGGCACAGAACGTAGAGGTCAGAAGGTAGTCAAAAGAAATTAAGCCATGATTTATGGGAATCAGTAATGTTATTACAAAAAGGCCAAAATCTCTTTGCTACTGTCTCTGTCTGCACTGTTCATAACAGCTTTGCCAATTTTCTAACAAATTACATCTGGTGTTGTCTGGGAAGTAAATGTACACCAAATTTAGACTTATTCACATGTGACATGTCCTTAATATTAAAGCAACAAGAAGCACAAGAGGCATCATTTGTAGGTTTTTGCTCACCTTTTATTGTTCTTTGTAAAAATGTAAATTGCTGGAGAATCGTGGATGCTGAACTAGAGCTTTGGAAATTTCCCTGGCATTCACATATAGGTACTCTGTCTGCCTTAGCATGAAAATCAGTGACAGGTAGCTGTGTGCTAAACTCCTGCCACTGACAGGCAGCCCTGCCTGTACGCTGCAGCCCTCGGTGAGCCGCCGGGACGTAACATGGAGGACGAATGGAGGACAGCATTGCAGGGCAGTCAGTAACCCAAAGAGGTTGTCAGTCACCACGGGTCCCCTCAAGGCCAGAACGGTCAGTCCGCCCCTGGTCTTGTGATACAAAATGATTTTTAAAAGTATGTATATCTATTTCCTAAAACAACAACTGCATCAGAGCTTGTGTTATTCATGTTTAGAATGGTATAGTACCTATTTTTATTAACATTGGCAAAAGAAAGTAAAAAGAGTAACGTGTTTTTAATTACAAGCTTACCGTATATACTCGAGTATAAGCCGTCCCGAATATAAGCCGAGGTACCTAATTTTAGCAAAAAAAACTGGGAAAAAGTATTGACCCGAATATAAGCCGAGGGTGGGAAATGAGGAAGCTACTGGTAGATAGATACCAATAAAATTACATTAATATTTATTTAAAAGAAAAATAACCTAGCTCTGTAAGTGGAAAAGGGGGTGCAGGGCTACATATCATGTACTACGGATCATTTAACCCATTCATATTAGCAGAGGATAATTGTAAATCTATTGTTCAGTGCACTCTATATGTAGTATATAGTACATGTACATATAGAGTGCCTGCAACAATACATTTACAATGATCCTCTGCTAACATGAATGGGTTAAATGATCCATAGTACAGGGCTACATACAGATCATTTGATACATTCATGTTAGTATAATTGTAAATGTATTGTCTGCACTGTATTAGCAGTATATACTCTATATAGAGTATATACTGCTAATACAGTGCAGACAATACATTTACAATTATACTAACATGAATGTATCAAATGATCTGTATGTAGCCCTGTACTATGGATCATTTAACCCATTCATGTTAGCAGAGGATCATTGTAAATGTATTGTTGCAGGCACTCTATATGTACATGTACTATATACTACATATAGAGTGCACTGAACAATAGATTTACAATTATCCTCTGCTAATATGAATGGGTTAAATGATCCGTAGTACATGATATGTAGCCCTGCACCCCCTTTTCCACTTACAGAGCTAGGTTATTTTTCTTTTAAATAAATATTAATGTAATTTTATTGGTATCTATCTACCAGTAGCTTCCTCATTTCCCACCCTCGGCTTATATTCGGGTCAATACTTTTTCCCAGTTTTTTTTGCTAAAATTAGGTACCTCGGCTTATATTCGGGACGGCTTATACTCGAGTATATACGGTAATTGAATTAATTTTAAATGTAGCTACTATAAATACCTGCATTTGTCTTGCTTTTAGCCTCTTGCAATCCCCTATACAGCAGACTGGGAGAGGCAGGGGCACAATTTTGGGCCAATCAGATGGCTTGCATTCATAAGTGCTGACAAAGAACATGCTGGGAGGAGAAGAGGGCAGAAAAATAACTTAATTAGTTTGTTGCTGCTCCTTCACTGTCTAATCACAGGTAGGAGGTGGGGAGGTGATTAGATTGTGTTGCTTAACTGCAGCAGAGAAAAAAGACAGGACACCAGGCTGGCAGTACTCTGTGGTAGAGCTGGATAGACAGAAATACAGATCCTTTGGCGTGTAAGATAACTTGCATATATGCATTTCAGCTGTGTAATTCTCTAGATAATGCAATTATCTAGCTATTATGATGACCCACTGGCTATAAGAAATATTAGTGAGAAGTCCTTGTCTGCATACTTGTTCTGGGTTAATGACTCAAAGTCAAAACATTTTTAGTAGTTAGGATGGACTAGGCAATTGTTAAAATCCCGCCAGGTTTCTTTTTTGCCACCCTTTTTTTCCTATTCTGAAGGCACAAGAGGAAGTGGAACTCTCAAACTTGAGGCAAATGCCTTCTTATACAGGTGTGCAAGTGCACTTATCCTGTTTACCCCTATACATTGTGCTAACCGATTCCACCCACCTTCTACCTACTGAGGTCCAGCTGCCACACCCCCTCTTCCCCATTTATTTACACTCTGCTCCCTCCAAGTCCTCTCTTTCCTGGCTTTGCAGGCACATTGCATCCCCATAGACGTCTATGGGGCTCATCTACCTTAATATCCCGCAACATAGACTTCATTTTTAATGAACATTTTTAATGCTCAACATGATTCTCCTCATTATTTCTAAATAAAAGATATCAATCAGTTGCTTGATTTTGATCCATGCCCAACCTCTTACATAAATAAAATGATGAAGTATATGTTTATTATAGTTGTGGAGTCTTGGGACTGTGTAAAGGTGGTACTGACTAGGAAACTAAAGGAGGTTTATAAATGTTGATGAAACCTTTTTGTCAGTTAAGAAATGGAGGTACCGGGGAAGAGGGGGATTGTTGGGCTGTGCTTAGGGCATCAGTTGCCCTAAATCTGGCCCTGCCTTCTACAATATAGACCACATGATATGACTTTTTTTTTTAAATTAATGAGGGGATATTTATTGGGAATGTGGGCCACATTCCAGTACGCATAGATGTAAATGCATGAACATGCGTGAACATCATGCGAAAGTGCATAAGGTGTATTCTTCACATTTGAGGAAAGATAAGGGGGACTTAATGCGTGAATCTTTATTGCATGTATACAAGTGTATAGCGATATGGAGGGCAACATGCGTGTACAACACACATAGATGCAAGTGCATATTTATTTGTGTGCATCGCACAGAAGTGCATGTGTTTGGAATGTTAGTAAGAATACGGAAAACTTAGTAAGGTACTTTCTGTAAATAGCAATATGGGCAGCACCATGCGTATATAATGCACATGGATGCTAACGCATTTGCATGCATGGGCAATGCACAAAAGTGCAAAAATGTGCTTCAATTTGGGAAAATGTTCCAGTAGTGCCTGGAGAAGTGTACCCTGGAGAACCTGTAGAAATGTCAGGTTCTCCATGGTATCAGGTTGATGCAGTGAGAGCACAAACTATCAAAAGTGTACAAGGTGGAATGTACAGAAAGAATACCTGTACAGAAAGAATAAGACTTTTACACATGTCAGGGACTGGGTCGGATGTATTAAAATCACATGATCATAGGATTGTACTGACGTCTAGGTCCTCATTTAATCCATTAGGGTTTAGTGTATTTATTGTATAGATCCAGTAAGTCTCCTGGTTGCACAGTTTGCGAAATCTTTCAGCAGGGGACATGCTACTTGGGATGTGTTCAATTGCAAATACTTTTCGGCCCACTGTAGATTTATTGTGTTTGGTGGCAAAGTGTCTCGGGACACTGTGGTCCATAGAGCCCTGTTCAATGTATCAGTGATGTTGTCCAAAACAGCAGTGTAGTGTCTTGGTGGTGCGCCCTTTCCTTTTTTCTGTGCCAGAGAAACAAGCATGTTCCACAGTTGTATACATTACACTTGAAACATCCTGTTTGGCCAAAAATACCTTCACCAGAATTCGATGTTTTATTGGACTTGAGTCTACTAGGGGCTATCTTCCTGCGGAGGTCTTTGGGTTTTTTGAAGATGACCCTAGGAAAACCGGGGAGAGAGTTCTTCAAGACGGGGTCTTCTCTCAGGATGCTCCAGTGATTTTTCAATATTTTGGAAATCTGAAAGGCCCCATCATTGAATTGGGTACAAAAACTGATATTATAAGAGTCTCTCTATTATAAGAGAGACTATTATAAGAGTATCTCCCCTAATCCTACCAAACTGCCCATCAGGAACATTTCTAATCCATCTGGGGTGATGGTTACTCTTAGCGTGTAAGTAGGAATTGCCCGCCGAGGGTTTGAAGTGAGTTTTGGAGGTGATCCCTCCCATGTCGTCGGCTCCTAATTCAAGGTCTAAAAAGACTAATGATCTGTCGTCTATTACAGACGTGAAGTCCAGGTGAAAGGGTTTGCTCTTACAGTCGTTCACAAAGGCAGTGAATTCTATGGCGGTGCCATCCCAGATAATGAGGATGTTGTCGATATATCTGGCGAACAGGATATATCCAAATGGGTTATTCGACCAGATATGAAACTCTTCCCAATACCCCACAAGCAAGTTTGCATATGAGGGAGCAAAACTTGCACCCATAGCAGTACCCTTTAGTTGGATATAATGGGTGTCTAAGAATGAGAAGTAATTGTGTGTCAGCACAAACTCTATGGCCTCTAGGATGAAGTTGGCTTGGGAAGAATTGAAATTCCCAGACTTGGGCATGAAGTGCTGGACTGCTCTGAGGCCGAACTGATCTTCAATGGAGGTATAAAGGGAAGCTGCATCCAAGGATGCCCATAGGTAGCCTTCTCTCCACTGGTACTGTTTTAGGATTTCCAGAATGTACCCCAAATCTCTGACATAGGAGGGAAGGTCTAACACCAACGGCTGTAAGAAGAAATCTATGTAACTAGCCAGGTTTGAGGTGAGGCTATCCATCCCTGCTATTATGGGTCTGCCAGGTGGTCTGGTAAGATGTTTATGGATTTTAGGGATGTGATAGAAGTAAGGGATGCAGGGGTGTTGAATCGAAAGAAACTTATATTCAGACTTCGATAATACCCCTATAGAATAAGCCTTAATGAGTAGTTCATCAAATCTCATTTTGAATTCGCTAGTGGGATTCTTTTGGAGTTGGTCATATGTGGTGGTATCTGACAACAGTCTAAAAGCTTCATCGATATAGTCGGTCTTATTAAGAATGACTAGGCCACCACCTTTGTCTGCCTGTTTGATTACTAGATCTGTGTTATCACCGAGGGATTTGATGACTGTTTTTTCTTTGTGGGTGAGATTGGTAGTTCTACCTCCTTTTTTGGAGCACAATTTTCTGAAATCCGTATGTACCAGTTGATAAAAGGTGGAGAGGAAGCTCCATTTGGAATGGTAAGGGTAAAAATTGGACTTAGGTCTGAAATTAGAGTGTAGAATATCTGGATCAATGTAAGGTAAGGTTTCAGGTATAAATTCGATACCGTCCCATAGAGTTCCCGTAGTGCTTTCTGCACCCAGCATATGTTGTTTGTTGACACTCTGCCATACTCAGCACATGCTGTTTGTTGATACTCTGCCGTCTTCAGACTTAAGGTCCGGTTTTTGGGTGCCGTGATAGGTCGAGTGACACCCAGTAGGCGGAGCCCGATCTGTTCCGGGTCCCT